ACATGACAAGGGCTAAGATATATGATAGACAAATTATGACATCAACAACAAGGGTTGTTATCATTTATGGTGAAATGAACTCTACCCTAGAAGTCAGCTTTAGAAAATGGAGATATTTAGGTGCACAGAAAATCTGGATCACAACCTCACAATGGGATGTCATCACAAATAAAAAAGATGTCAGCCTTGATTTCTTTCATGGGACTGTCACTTTTGAACACCACCACAGTGAGATTGCTAAATTAAGGAATTTTATGCAAACATTGAACACTTCCAAGTACCCAGTAGACATTTCTCAGACTATGGAGAAGTGGAATTATTTTAATTGTTCAATCTCCAAGAACAGCAATAGCAAGATGGATCATTTTACATTCAACAATACAGTGGAATGGTTAGCACAGCACAAATTTGACATGGCCCTGAGTGAAGAAGGTTACAATTTGTATAATGCTGTGTATGCTGCGGCCCACACCTACCATGAACTCATTCTTCAAAAAGTAGAATCTCAGCAAATGGCAGGACCCATAGGAGTATTCACTGACTGTCAGCAGGTAGAGTTTCTTACATTTCATTATGCTTATATATATCAATGTAATCTTTAAATGGCCCCTGAGAAACTCGCATAAATTTGTTAGATTATTCTTGCAATAACAAGATTTCTATACTATAAAACTACCTACTGAGTCTTTCACATGGATATGTAACATGCACAAGGATAACATATAATAGGAGACAGTATTTTTGTATGAGTGTCAGTGAGTTTGTGAAAATGTGTCCCAACATTCTATAAAATGAGTTCAATATTTAAAATAGGATTCTAGAGTTTCATCATAAAAGTATTAAGTGATAACTAGCCTAGAATAATTTTCTCAAGAATAATTTTCTCAATAGCTGGTACATTTGCTGTGAATAATATACATTTAAAGTAACTATTTTTTTTATAAAAACCTAAATGAAGACTGCACATTCAATAAGTTTATGTTTATTTCCTATCTGAAAGCTGTATGTACATGAATGACACACTATCATCCTTTGTTCCCAGAACTTCGGGATATTCAGACTTCCCACTCATTCTCACATACATGGTTTTAATTTTAAAAATTATTCTTGACAAACATGTGCACAAACACACACATATGCAAGAACACACATACATATACATATACACACACTCACATCATGTTACTTGATATTTAGAAAGCATTCATTTTAACAATTTTGCCTTTGAACATTAAAATGAAGTATATGAATTTTAAATTACCCATGAGTTATATTATATATAAGTACATAGGATTTTTTTAATATAGATGTCTTTTCTAAAAAAAAATATTAAAAATTAAGGAACATTGTCAATTTTGCTTATCCTTAGTCAATATGTACTCATGTAATCATCTGATGATGCATCTCATTTAGGTGGCTTCCATGTTGAAAACTAGAGTATTTACTAACCCTGTTGGAGAACTGGTGAACATGAATCATAGGGAAAATCAATGTGCAGTGTATGACATTTTCAACATTTGGAGTTTTCCACAAGGCCTTGGACTAAAAGTCAAAATAGGAAGTTATTTTCCTTGTTTTCCACAGAGCCAACAATTTCAAATATCTGAAGACTTGGAATGGGCCACAGGAGGAACATCGGTGGGTATACAACAATTTTAAGTTTTTTTTTTAGGATATCTAAATTTTAAAATATTAGGCATTGAAGTTATAGCTCTGTAGTCAATACCAATTGCTCTTCTTGCCAAAGACCCAGCATCAAAATTCAGTAACTCACAACTTCAGGTAAATCTAGGTCATAGAGATCAAAGGCCTCTGGATTCCATGTTCAACTGTACCTGCATGTCTATTCACCCCAACTACATAAATACATTTATTAAATTTAAAGTAATATATATAATTAAAATTCTGTACCTATATGTAAACCATAAAATTTTTGTTTCTGTGTGAACATCTTTATATCTTAAAGAAGTACAACATGTATTCATTAACAGAAATATTTCTCCAGATACAAGATTTTCTTTTCAACTTAGAAAAAGTTCCTTACATTTATGAGTTTTATATGACATGCTTTGTTGATATTCAACAGACAACTCATTCTTGCTTTATCCTATCTTCTCTCTCCACACAACTCAATGTCTTCATTTTTTAATTTATAAATCTTATGAGAGAAACTGATGCCACATAAACATTCCTTTTGAATTAATAAACTTTGAAAGAAAAATTTTAAATTGCTACAAATTAATTTTACATATATAATATTAAATGATGTAATAAATATTGTGTGACTATCAGGGCATTTCAGGGTAATAGAAAATAATAATGTACCTAAAATTGATAAGTGATGCTGGATAGCAGAGGAAGAAATATAGCCATATCTATTAATGTAACATAAATATATATATGGACCATTATACATACATGTATACATGCATTACACATAAATACACACATGCACAGACACATATTTAAGGGTGTATGTACGTATGTATATATATTACCTCAGGTTCCCACCTCCATGTGTAGTGTGACCTGCATTGCTGGATTCAGGAAAATTCATCAGGAACAAACAGCAGACTGCTGCTTTGATTGTGCCCAGTGCCCAGAAAATGAGGTTTCCAATGAGACAGGTACATGTTTGCATGCAGAAAAAAATCGCTGAATTCTAATGTGTTCTCATTCCAAACCAAAATTCAAAATGGCCTAGAAGGAAACTATAGACCTAAAATCTCTTTGTTTCCAAATTTAATCACTTGACTGGTATCAACTTCATTTGGATCCTGCAGATAACCTGCATTCTCTTCTACAAACAACTCATTTCTCTCACAGTATGATGGCTATTAATTTTATATTATGCAGAAAACATTTAGGGGACATACATCTGTAAATATTTTAAACAAAACTTAGGCATAATCTATTCATAAGTTTAATCTTATGTGATTCTTTGTACAAAGTAGCTGGACTACATGATCAGTCCACAACCTTTCCCTCCTATCATTCAGCTTGGTCCGTGACAAAGACCAGATGCTTAGGGTAGCAACTGTTGTTTAATGAAATATATTTTAAGAGCATGGAAGATTTAAAGGATTCAGTAGTTCTTGTCAAAGAATTAGAGCAAGAGTGAAGATTTCAACAATGCCCCCAGAGAAGTGATAATGCATATCAGCAATCACAGCTTACATAAGGAAAATGAGATGAATGTGAGTACCCTTAAACTTCATGACATCTAGCTCAGAGAAAAAAAGATATCTTACCACAATGATGGGGACATGGATAGGTCTGTGAGGCATACGGCTTCAACAATGGAAATACTCTCTCTCTCTCTCTCTCTCTCTCTCTCTCTCTCTCTCTCTCTCTCTCT